CTCACTTGGTAGCCCAGGCTGGCCTCGAACTCACAGAGATCCGCCTGGCTCTGCCTCCCGAGTGCTGGGATTAAAGGCGTGCGCCACCACGCCCGGCTCACATTGCATTTTCTACTGTAACATATCTGTTTTCTTTCAGGTTTCAAAGCAAATAGGGCTGATGGTGTAGCTTGGTAGCAAAATGCTTTTAACATCCCAAGGCCTAGAATTTTATCCCTAACATAATAAATAAATGTCCTTGGGATCACATTAGGAAGCAACAAAATACCAAAGTCACTTTCTTAGTAACATTCAAACTTAGAAGAGAGAACACAATTTGTGAATGACCCACTTAATTGTCCTTCCTGTTTTCCTATTTTCACTTTTTTCTCTTTGTGCTGTAATATATGTGATTTTGCAAGTGCTAACGCCTTCAGTTCACTCAGCCCTTTCTGTGGGTAGACTACTTGTAGCTGTTGAGTTCATGAAGTAGCCAAGAAACCACTATCATTTATTGCAGCTTTTGAGACAGGATTTTATATCTTGAACTCAGTCTTCCCAGGTTGCTAAGATTATAAGCATGTGTTGCCCCATCCAACTTAAAGTAGCTCTGTATCTTAATATATAGAAATTATTGGGTGTTGGTATTTAGTGAACAGTTTTTACATACATTCTCAGTTGACTTTCTGGCTGCAGAAGAAAAGTTTGCCATATCATCAGCAAGAACGCTGTGTGTCTTGCACAGGTGCAGCATAGTAAGTGAAAGGCAGAAGTGGACTAGCCCGGATCCTCTCTCCAGGGTCCAGCTTCCCTCCTGTGTCTAGTCCAACCCCTCGTTTCTCTGTGGAATTCTTCACTTTGGAACCCTGTAACCACCTATCAAAAACAAATGAGGTCCAGCCCCTATTTGTTTTCTCCCAGGGTCTGTGGAAGAACCTAACAACCAGCTGAGGATCTAAACTTAGTGATACTGAAAGAATCTAAGCACACTGAGTTCTTTAGTCCATTCACTCTATTCTTTTAAATCAATTCTATCTACACAGCTTCTTTTCTGTACTCATACTTAGCTCCTCTCTGTCCCTTGTGCTCTTCTACCTAGTTCTTCTCATCTTGTTCTCATCTTTGTTCCTCCAAGCATATATAAATATATATATATCTCCATTAACAACTTGTTAGCAAAAACTACAAACTCTCAGGGACAAGTATTCTGATAAGTGTCACACTTGGCAAAGACTTGGTCAGCTAATTGGTGACTGACAATAGCTGTAGGTTGTAAAAAGTTCTCGCTGTCTCTTAAAGGGATAGCTACAAAGGAAGAAACTAAACCAATGAGAGATTTAAGGAAAAGGTAAAGAATACATGTACTATTTAATGTGATTAATAATATCCAGACATGGTTAGTTAACAGCCTTTTTCTGTTAATCACCTGAATCTCAGGACCTATACATAATTAGACTACTGAGCCTACAATCTTGCATTAAAAACTGGTGTAGAAATAAAAACAAAGTGTTAATTGTTTTTGAGTCAGAGTTGGGAGGTGATGGTGGAGGAAGCTTAGGGCAACATAGGTGCTGTTGATCTCTTGAAGCACTAAGATACACCAAGGCCAGACACCTGCACTGTCACTTCCAGTTCATTGTAATTCTTCTGTTTTGATCCAACAAGGCCAGGCACCTGCAATTCTGCTCTGTGAGAGTCCTATGAGGACACTTTGTCTGGCCAATATTTACCTTGTGAGTGGCTAAGGATGGAGAACGAGACCTCTAAGTGTCTACAGTCCACATGAACAATTGACCTAGTATGAAGCATATTTTAGTATGTTTCCATTCATAAAAATTGTACAGTTAAATAAGAAACCATCTTCTAGACTATCCACGATTACGTGTGCCCATAGAGTGAGTTGCAGTCATGAGATTACATGTACAACTAGCATGGAGATGCACGGTAAATGGGGAGATATCATAGCTGTTATTGAATAAGAAGTTTACAACAAGAAACAGCCAATTCATACAAAAGGCAGTAATTCCATAACGCTTTGCGTGATGGTTTCCTCCAACAAAACTCTTGGTTCTGATAGGTTGACCTGAACTCTAGTTGTCACCTGCTGTATACTTCCATGGTCTTTTGCTACCAGCAGCTCTCAATAACCACCTATGGCAAATTTGGGCCATAAATTGATTAATTTATCAGCAGAAAGTGTATGAAAAGCTCTGAATCGGGAACTCCTCAGCTTTTGTTACATACAGACCATTTAAATTAAAAAAAGGTGACTACCTTGCAATCGAGTTGCAAACTACTACAAAAGGGTAGTGAAGTGATAGGAAACTAGCTAATGGCAAGAAAAGGCTTCAGCAGCAGTGGTTTTCATCAAGTCAGACTTGATGCTGGCGTTTCTATCCCTTTCAGCCGAACAGACTTCACCTGGTAGTAACAACTCCCTTTTTGTTTCTGCAGAAGAATCCAGAGGAAGACAGCTCGGGGAGGACACTGGGCTGGGAACCGGGGCACTTGCTACTCACTCTCTGCACCATGCGCAGCATGGAGCAGCTTCTGCCCTTCTTCAACGTCCTCAGCCAAGTCTTCAACAGCAAAGTCACAAGCCGGTGTGGGGGACACTCTGGGAGCCCTGTCCTCTACTCCAACTCCTTTCCAAACAAGGACATGAAACTGGAGAACCATAAAGCATTTTCCAGTAAAGCCAGGCAAAAAATCGAAGAGATGATAGAAAAGGATTTTCTGGAAGGAGTCATAAAAACTTGACCACCACCAGTGATTCCCCAGAGTCTCAATGGAAATGTAATTATTTAAAACACACGGCTCTCTGAGTTGTATAGTTTCTTTTCCTTTTATATATATATGTAACAAAACACTCTTCAGGTTGTATTTAATTTAAATATTTGTAAATAAGAGCTTATGTCTGAATGTGGCCTGAATCAAGTTTAAATATAGTTGGCTCATACTGATGATGGTGCCTACGAGAGGTCTATATATGCATATACAGTCCATGGTTTCACTGGCTTGGGTTGTCTTAAACCTGCAAAATATACACCATGTTTTTTGTTTTCCCCTGATGGTTTCAAGTCTCATTTAATTTAAATTGGGTTTTTTCCTCCTTTCTGTGGCAAACAACATCCTCGTATCAGAATGGTCACTTTGCTGTCAAAGCCTTCATGTATTAGATGGAGCTGTCCCTTCACATCCCTTCCCTGAGCACTCAAGAGTAGCTGAAACCTGGACCATACATCCTAAGTAGGTACAGCACAGGCCTCTGTCAATGCAAAGAAAGATGGGCCGCCTGCCAGTTCTGATGCTGCTACACAAACAAGTCTGCCATGGAAAATTGGTTTATATAAAGTCTCCACTCTTCCCCATCTGAATCAGGTAGGTCAATGCTGCAAAACATCTTGCTTTAGGTAAGTAATCACAAGGCATTGCAAGGAGTTAATAAGTAATAAAATTTAATTTCCCAATGCCCTACATACACTGTAAAATTAATGACACTCAAACTATTAGAACTTAATATAGATTAAAATCAGAGATGAGCTTCATTAACAAGTCTTAAGATTTACCAGCCTCTAAACAGTTTTGTTTTGTTTTTCCTGGTAGTATTTTTAAAAAAAACAGATCTAATTCCATTAGAGTGCTTTTGTAATGTTAGGATTACAAATGCCTTAGTACTGACAGTATTGTCAATAGTTGCATAAAAGTCCATTTTTCAACAATATAAAAGTTATCTTCAGAAAGATGGTTGTGGCCTTTCTCCAATGCCTCCAGCCAGCTGAAACACCACCAAACTCACTTCATATGCAAGCCTATCTGCACTTTCCTGCAAATCACAATAAGAGATTAGGTGAGAGACAGCACCTGCCATTCATCCTGGCTAGTCTAGGGGCGGATGCTTCTGATTGTTTCAGAGGTAGTCAAATAACCTTCTTTATCTGTCAGTAATAAGTTCCAAAGCCCATAAGTAGTGAGTTGGATTCTTCTAAATAAGGTAAGTTTTCAATTCAGTTTATAAAATTTTTCCAAAATCAAGTAAGTAACCAAGCCCCTTTAAGGTTACAACTGCTGAGAATAAGTAATTCTTAGGATTTCCATCAGAGATACCCATTCTCAAGTAAAAAAGTAACTGGTGATGTTTCCAGGGTCCCCATTCAACCACAATATGTATAAAGGGCAAATGATAAAACTGCAGAAAATATAGGTAGAATAAGAATGTCATTTAAAGAAAAACTTTAAAAGCAATTCAAAAGTCTAGAAAGAAAAGCAAGCATTACCAGTTGCTTTGGAAATAGTAAAAGTGGCTGATTCCACAAACTCACTTATGGGACTGCAGTTTTAAAGGGAAAATAATCTATAATACATTAAAATCAGCATGTGTCAAAGGATTTATTAGATACTCCTGCACAGCCAGAACATCACACCCTTAAGAATCCACAATATTGGGCTGGAGAGATGGCTCAGAGGATAAGAGCAGTGGCTGTTCTTTCTGAGGTCCTGAGTTCAATTCCCAGCAACCACGTGGTGGCTCACAACCATCCATAATGACATCTGGTGCCCTCTTCTGGCCTGCAGGTGTACACGCAGGCAGAACATTGTATACATAATAAATAAATAAATCTTTAAAAAAAAAAATCCACAATAAAGAACTATTTGGGAACAAATTAAAGGGGGTGTGAAACTCTTTAACTATATACCTCCCAGTGCATTCAATCTTAATGTCAAAGTGAGATTCCAAACACAACTAAACAGTGATTTCTCCTCCCCTGGTCCCAGCTTACTTGTGAGTCTGCTTCTGCATATACTCGGACAATGTCTTCCGTTCCAGAGGGTCGGACAAAAGCTCGGGCAAGCTTGTACTTCTTCACCAGGTCATTGATTGCTTCTTGGAGTCCTGGAGGAGTGACTGCTTGTCTTTCAGCATCAGTGGTGTTAATAACTCTCCTGTCTGCAACCTGAGCACAGACATTTCCTATCTGTTATCATGTTGGACTCTCTGTTCAAAATAGTCCCGCCCACAGAGTAATGGTGTGCATCAGTGAAGCAGCAGAGTAGTGAGGAGAAACTGCAATTACATTTCCTGTTTTATTTAGCTAAAGCCATGTAACATTTTTAACATTTATACTAATTAAAAAAAATTCTTCGGTATACAAAAATTTACCTTTAGCCAAACAGAACATTTCCACACATTGTCACAGAGCTCCCAATAAAACAATGGTCAATAACTATTGTCTGACCCCAGTAGTTACTGATCAAATTGTGGCAAGCTATTATATGAGAGAGCTGAGGTAAGAGTCTTGTAAATATGCCAAGAGCAAATCCAGATACTTGCAGCCATTTCTGCGAACTCTGGCTTTAAATTCCTAATTAACTTTCAACGAATTCTACTGGAGAATGTGTGGACTGATACAAATCAAATAGTCATTCATGTGAAATGCTTTTGGAGAATTCTCTCCCTGTGAGTCCAGAGACTACGGTTTACATCTAGCTCTGGAAAGCACTGTGGTCTGTCATTAGGGGACTCGCCAGGCGGGTAAAAACTGTGAGGCTTACGTCTCAAAAAAAGAATGAAAAAATTTAAGTATTATGTGAACTAAAAGAATTCTGAAGCAACATTTTCAGTTAATAAAATTATCAGTCTCGGTTTTGCTTCAAAATAATATGGGCTGAGCTGTGAAAAATGAGCAGGAAAGCAGAATCCTGTTTAAGCTAGTTACATAATTTTTGTCGTTTTGTTGTTCATATTTTTTAAATGGTGCATATTCATACAATACCATCCTTTGTCATAAAAGTGGAAGTACAGAATGTTATTTTTTTAAAGTGTGAGTAAAGCAGTTAGCATAAGGCCTTCTAAGTAGAGTGTACATACAGACTGAAATAAAACCCACTCAGGGAACACTTAGAAGAACCAGCTACATTCTGAAAGGTGGTTTCATGCTCTCTTCACCTTAACTTTGAGTTGTCTGTTAGGAAGATCAACATAAATAGCATCCCACTGCTGCACAGTCAGACCCTTCAGAGCCAGGATAGCCTCAATCACCAGCATGTCAGAGATAGCATCTCCAGCTGCCTGCAAGATTGGGGAAGGAAACAGCATATAAGCTACCCTTACAGAAGTCCCACATGAATGCTGTCCATCTCAGAAAATCAAGCTGCCCTGCCCATGCATCATTAACCAGAGAGTGAATACATAACATGAACACTAAGGAGGTGCACATAACCATGGAAGATAACAATGACCTGTATCCCAAGTTGATTAAACCAATTCAGGAGAAACATCTAGACTGAATAAAGACTTGGCCCTGACATCCTATAACTCAAATTCTTTCACTAGATCTCCTCTTAGATATGGTGATACTAGTAAAGAAAATAAGCTTTGGTTCGAGATACACTTGAAGTTAGAGCCAAACTCTAAGCTTGCATTTCATTTGTAAAATGGAAATTATAACCTTGTCTCCTGCATTACTGCTGTGATTATAAAGAAAGGTGAATAAAATGTCTGATCCACATCAGACACTTGGATCCCCTGCCTTTCCTGACTTGGTTGTTGCTCTTCCATAGCTGTACTGCACCTTCCACTGTAGGACTCACACGTACCTTGCTCAAACATGTAAATGTTACAGTATTTTCCCAACACTGCCTTTGAAAAGTTAGCATACTTGAACACTTCAACATTTTCCTGATAAAATATGAAGGAAGGAAGCATATAAAAAATGTTCCATTTCTAGTGCAAGTCTCCACTGTGGGCACCACTGTTAGAAGCAAGCCACCAAGCCAGGACGTCTCCACTTTTTATGTAATTCTTTGTTCCATGTTGTGACCGATGTTAGGGTAACTCAGGGCCTCCACCTCACCAGTCCTAACCTGGTTGAACAAGTCGATGATGCTTGCAAGCATCTTGGCAGCTTTTCCTTTCTCATCTTCTGCTTCTTGTGCTAGTCTCTTTATCTTCACTTCAACTGCTTCACTGAACAGTGCCTGCAGCAGAAGCATATGAAGTCAGTCACAAACTCCAGATCACCTTTCAGTCCTAGAATCCGGAGAAACTGAATAGAAAAATGATGGTAGCTTGATGTCTGCCATTAATGTTAAGATCAAATCACAGCACAAAGTATTACTAAGGAAAAAGTTTGTGGATTATAAAAATAGTAAAAAAAATAGCAGTTTGACAAAAACTAAATACATATGAGCTCACTGTTCTCCAGCTCAGTTTTTTAACTCTGTGCAGTAGGTACTGTTAAAGGATGTGATAGGCAACATCAGAAAATTCATTGCACTCACTAGTATGACAGATAGCGTCAGATACTTTTACCATATACATTCCTTTGTTTCGAAGTACCTACCCATCCTTTTATAGCCCTAAAGAGGCCAGTATTGACGTTAGCACACAGTGCTCAATCACTTGAGGAAATGGGCACATCTTGGCAAAATAAGATACAAGGTGGTCACCTGGTTTTTGTAAATTTTTACTGAACAGACATACCATTTTTTTTCTATAAGTAAAGTTGAGCAGATTCAACACAGACCTTATGGACTGTAAGTGGAGGTTTCTGTCTCACCAACTCCTAAATACCCAGCAGCCACTTCCCAAATAATTGATTCAGAGGCTTAATATAAATTACAAATGCTCAGCTGGTAGCTCAGGCTTATTACTAACTAGCTCTTACATTTAAATTAACCTATAATTCTTATCCATGTTTAGCCACGTGGCTCGGTACCTTTTCTCAGTGTGACAGTCTCATCTTGCTTCCTCTGCATCTGGCTGGTGACTCCTCTGACTCCGTCCTTCCTCTCCCCAGCATTCTTAGTCTGGTCACCCTGCCTATGTTCCCTTGACTGGCTATTGACCATTTAGCTTTTTATTGAACCAATCACAGTGACACATCTTCACATAGTATTAAGGAATATTCCACAACAATGGACTTCACCTTAAAAGCTTAGATCACTGAAGTTATATTTTAGTTGCATTTTGTAGAAACATATTCTCCTTCTCCTTATATTCATGGCTCTTCCAAAAGCCAAATTGAAATTAGTGAAGAGAATGATTTAAACTACATTCAAATATGCTCATATCTACCTCGAATCCATTCATGAAATGAGGTGATGTACAAAGACATTTTTAAACAAAATCTGAATGTAGATGTAACCAACTGTCTTATTAAAATAAAAAACACAGAACCAACGTAAAAGAGAAAGCCAAGAGGTCAGAGCTCAGAGCTAAAATATTATCTCCTGCAGTGCTCCTAGCTTCCCCAAAAGAGAGAGCTACTTCCTGTGTGTCTGTCTTTAAATAGTCTTTCTGTTCTGCCTTGTCATTGGTTATAAACCCAAACACATGACTGCCTAGTCACTGCCTGTAAATACCGCCCTCCAGGTCTTAAAGGCGTATGTCTCCAATGCTGGCTGTATCCCTGAACACATAGAGATCTACCTAGCTCTTCTACCAAGTGCTGGGATTAAAGGCGTGCGCCGCCGTCGCCGCCGCCGCCGCCGCCACCGCCGCCGCCACCACCACACTCTTGCTATGGCTCTAACAGCTCTGACCCCCGGGCAACTTTATTTATTAACATACAATGAAAATCACATTTCAGTACAAATAAAATACCACCATATCTGAACTTAAAAAAAAAAAATCTTAAAAAAAAAGTTATACCCTTTAAAATAGTGACTTTTATGGTGAAGTATGTATGACTTTTTTCCACAATAGTCCTTCTAAGGAAACCATGAAACAAACACCACCAAAACCAAAAAAAAAAAAAACTATGCTTGTATATACATTAAACCCAATAACACTTTATTATAGCTACTGAACTAATCTCTGTAAGAAGTGGAATATTTTAAGAAAATGAACAGTACATTTAAAATAATTTATTGGGGTTTTCTGGGGGGGGTGTGTATGCACACATGTTGAGGCCAGGATTGACTCCTCGGGTATTCCTCAAGTGCTGTCCACCTTGTCTTGTGAGACAAAGTCTTGCATTTGAAGGGCTCACTAATTAGGCTCGGTTGGTTGGTCAGTGATCCCCAGGGATGCACCTGTCTCTGCCTCCCCAGTACTGATCAAACTCAAGACCTCATGCCTGGTTACCCAACTAAACTCTCCTCAGCCCATTTAAAGAACAAATTGGTACACTTCTTCACAGAGGATCACTAGAGTCTTTAAAATAGACATTTGATAGTATCTAAAGGTATATGTTGATCATATCATTTCCTACTACCTAGTCACTGAACAAACTACAACAGAAATCTATTATTAACTTACTGTGCCATGCCCATTTGCTTCAAAATAAACTCCAATGTCAAACTCTTGGGCCTTGTGATGCAAATGTTTGACACCAGTTTTGGTGCAATAAACAGGCACCTACAACACATTAAAGAAAAACAGCAACAGTTAATCAATAGAGTGTCAAGAGTTAGATATCTGCTATTCCAGAAATAAAACAAGGAACAAAATCGGGGACCTCCCTCTGGTGCGAAAGACAATAAAGGCTTAAAACACCCACACAAGGAATGACTGCAAGTAGGTGGCATTCTCTGCCTTCAGAGGGTTGCCTGAGCTGCAGTATGGAGAATGGAGGACAAAGGTCTGCATGCTTTTTCAATTAAGGCCAATCCTTCTTTATAGGAAAATATACACTATGCAGGCTATATAGTCTCCCACAATCATTCTGTAGTATTTGGAGGCAGCCACAGACTTCACCTAAACAAATGTGCAGGATGCTCGATATTCCAATAGAACTCTTATAAAGAGTGACATGCTAGATCGAGTCCCCTGACTATTTCTTGCTAACTATTGGCTTAGAAAGTTAAGAAAGGCCAATTAGGGATGGGTGTGGTGGCACACACCTTTAATCCTAGCACTGGAGAGACAGGACAGCTGTTCTGTAGAGTGGTTCCAAGACAGCCAGGGCTACACAGAGAAACCCTGTCTTGAAAAATGAACGTAACAATAACAGAAAGGCAGTTAGACTTTCAAGACTGATCACATATAGTAATAAATAACCCTAACTAGACCAGCAGCAGATAGACCACCAGTCTATCAAAGGTGGGTCTAACAGATTTAGGAAACACTGACAGAAACAAAACTACAAGAGAAACATCCCGTAAGGGCAGCATTTATTGGACTTAACCATAGGATGGCAAAGGCCAAAATACTTAACCAAAGGAAAAATGGGTTGACAAGTAACAGTTTCTGGTGTGTATTAAGTCTGTGAAGCCAGATCATGATGAACACATCACAGGTAGTGTGCTAAAGAGAGCACAGCAAGGACAGGAAATAACCTCACTCACCTACTCCAAGAGCCAAGCAAACACATTCCATTTCATACATACTCCCAACACAACAGATGATTACTAGTAAAGATTCTCTCGCTACCTAATGCCAGGCTCACCAAAGCACAACCAGATACTATTCTTGGCCATCTCTCAAGTGTGCCTAGAGGTGAGGGGCTTAGCTGAAAGAAGTCGGTCAGACCTACTTTTCTATCCTTACTTCCGGAATGACCCAGTGTGTCCAAGTGCCTCACACTCCTCCGATACCTTTCCCACAATATGCTGTATGCCTTCACACTGAGGCAAAATAAGCCCTTCCTTGCCCAAGTTGTTTTCCAGGTCTTTGATCACATCAATGAAAAGATACAGGTGCAATATTACCTTATGGTTCCTGTTTGAAAGAGGCATCTTCAGGCCCCTAAGTAGTCATGATTGCAAATGTGGCTCAATTAGCCTTTAAAAAGATTTGCATTCATTATAAGATGACAGAATTCAGGTTTTTATATGCTCCAAGGTGAAAGCCTCCCTCCCTTTTACACCAGGGACATGTGAGACTTCTGATCCTAGTCACCATCACCTGGACATTGGCTCAGCTTTGTTCCCTGTTCACTTTGTAGTAACATTATTTTCCTCACAGAATTATCTTACCACGCTATTCAGAAATGACCCAAAACTGAAGACAATGTGATACCTTCATAACTTCTTCAAGGTATCTTGTGGAACTTCCATTTGCATATGCAGTCTGTACGACACCAATATTCAGACTTTCTCCAATCTAGAAGGAAACAATGACACACTGAACTCACCATCAAATGCACAGGAGCCTTTGACACAAGTGAGAGTCATAAAGGCAAGCAGAATCAGCCAGTTTTGTCCTAGCTTGCTTTAAGCAATAAATGGTATTCTAAAAGAAAGCATACACTACAAAGAAAAAGGTCTAAAATACTTGCAAGTACAGTTTTATAGTAAACCCTCTTTAAGACAATGTGTGATCTCTACAAATTATTAATAAACCTTTTCCAGATTATTGCAATTTCCAACTATATACTAGATTCAGGGATTTTCCAAAAGAGGAAAAAAATCAATTACTAAACTTATCATAATCACAGTAATAATTATCTCAGGTATTATTTGTTCTTAGAATTGGATGCTTTGCAGTAATGATGGAATTCTCAGTAATGCATGCACCATCAATTTTAAAGAAACCAAAACTGCACGAAGCTGCAGATAAAGTCAAACCAGTATAAAGAAAAGCAGCATACACAGTTATCTAGAATACCATCTTTACTAAGACCAAAGTCCCTATGCTGAAATGGCTGCAACTTCCACTTAGTTTTGTTTCGGGCCACAAATATCAGGAACTCCACATACACCGTAGCGCTGAAACACTCAAAAGACTCTGATGTGGAAGTGCTCCCTAGTAAGGCTGGTTGCTCCCCAGCCCCACCTTACCTCCAACAGTAGCTCTTTAAGGAAACTGCTAATTAATGTTGCTATCTTGTCTCCGTCTATGAGATGAAAGTGACCATCTGCATCACAGTAGTAATACACAATTCTGTCTGCATCTCCATCAAAAGAGCAGCATCTTTCATTGGACTTCATTTCCATTCCTAGCACACAGGAGGATTTAAAGTGCATTTTAGACTAAGAAATAGGAATAAAACTCACTATACAAAATATTAGATTTTTCTCTGACACACACACAATTATTTTTTCAATATAGCAGATCAAAATTAGCATTATATGCTACAGTACAGCACATCCACTATAAATTTTTCAAGAGATATTTTAAAAGATTCTTCCCAAATACAAACCAATGTCTCCAGTTTTAAACACTAGTGTCTCCTGGTGCTCTTTTTGAAGACAGGCTCTCACTATGTAGTCCAGGCTGGCCTCCAATTTAAGAGTCACCTTCCTCTGAGGGCTGGGGTTAAAGGTGTGTACCACACTCCCAGCTGCTGGTACTTTCCTTGCAGGTTAAATTCTTGCAAAGCAAACTAAAAAAAAAAAAGGCCCTCAAAATCTATTCATGCTGAAATGTGCTATTATACTAAAATAAAATTTTATTAACCAGTTGGTTTGGCTAGGCAAGTTTCCCATATAATTTTTTAAAACTTAAGAGATTTCTAAATGTAAGATTTCTAAAAGTACCATGCTATCCTTTATATATTAAAAATAAAAATCAGCAGTAGATATGTGCTTTAATTCTAATATAAGTATTTTATCTACTTATACTAACAGTAATAAGAAATGTAATCAAGAGCACAGAATTATAACTTTCAAGAACTCAATGAGAATTTCCATAAAGTCATTGAAACTTCAGCAACTGTTACATCAGATTTATTACAGAACCTTGCTGTCCCTTAACAAGGATGGCAGCAGACAAAGCCAGACTGTTAGCCTTGCTGCCTGTAGGTCAAAAAAAAAAAAAAAAAAAAAAAAACAGCCTGGAGGAGTGGGGGGTTGGGTCTCTTTAGAACACAGAGGCAGCCAATGCAGCAATCAGACAGGCAGACAGACAGATGGAGGTCTAGACCCGAAGGACAGGTAAAGTAATACCAAAACAAGTGCTACAGTGAAAAGGCTGGGTAAGTTAAAACTATAAAGGCTTACTACAGTGCGGCAGAGCAGTCCAAACAAGCGAGGCAAATGCAAGACAGCTGTGGAGTGGGGGCAGCTGATTTGTAATGTGAGGAGATGGAGATTTGATGATTTTGATAGAGAAATCAGAATTATTCAACGGTGAAATAAAATGCAACTGAGCACAGGCAAACACTCAGCAGTCCAAACAATACATCTGCAAGCCAGGCAAGGTTAGCAGACAGCATCCTAGGGTCTGTAAGAGAGCACCTAGAATACCTCTTTACTATACCATTTGAAAGGACCAAGCAGATGCCATAACAGGCTGCTTAGTCTTCTCTCAGAGATCAGGCCTCAATTCCAGTTTCCTGAGACTGAGCAAGCAGTCTCTGAGAGGGCCATGAACAAAAGACATAGTCCTTGCAGTAGCCCCCTTTCTGCACATACTCTGACTGCTCAAAGTTCAGCCAGATGTTTACTGTCTGGGACCCCTCACCAACTTAGCCCCCATGGCGGCTCAAGGACAGAGTCTGGACCACTGAGCCAGCCCCCACAGTCAGTATGTGCTAGGCCAGCCAGCCCCCATGGCAGTTCAAGGACAAAGCCTGGGACTTGTCCTGGACTGCCCCCAAAGTGATAATTGTAACCCCCAACTAGTAAATTCAAAGGTTACATACCCTCACCCAATTAAAAGAGAACAGAGATAAAAATAAACCAATCCGAGTTGCACCCGTGCCAAACCCCCAACCCCGCCCCCCAACCACCCTGAAGGGCTTGCAGTTTTTACCTTTAAATAGCTAGCCTCACAAAGAAAGAGGAACTCCTCCCTGCCTCACTGTATTGGGTGTAGGAATGAGTTCCCTGTCTAGACTTGTATCTACAGAATAAACCTTGCTGTTACATTCTGGACACCTCGGTCTTCGGTGGTCTCTTTGGGGTTGTGATCTGGGTATAACACATTAAAACCTGACCAGGCTCCTCCCTAATCTTCCCACGTGGGGAACAGTGAATAAATACACTGATGCTTTAAAGGCAGCCTTCCATTCCCTTTCCAGCCAGTCTAGTGCAGACACCATGAAGACGGAGCTGCTGACGACCGCTGCCTTTGGAACAGCGATTCTCAGTGTGCTCACCACCGGTGTGCTGAGCCACCAGCAAAGCCTGGCAACCTAACAGGACAAGGAATTTCCAACCTAAGGGCATCCCACCCTCCCTCGACAGACTGAACGAGAAAGGAGCGGGGCCACCTGTGTGCTGACGAGACACTTCAACTCCGACAGGATCTCAATTCTGAGAGCTGTCGTGCTAATGGGCTGTTTCCTGTCTGTCTGAGCTTTCAGCGGGACCTGACCAGGTTTTGAATGGCACTTAGGAGTGGGAAGATTTCTAAGGACCCAAAGGTGGCAGAGCCAGGACGCGTGGTGTGGCTGTTCCCTCGGAGGCAGCGTAGGTAGCCGCTGCTGCTGGGACGTACCCACCCTGTGGGGGTTTCTGGTGACTTTTCACGAAGTCAGCACCACACAGGTGATTGAGACGCCCTTCAGTCCCATCGTTAAACAGCTGAACCAACAGCCCCTGGGAGAAGTAGTGCTCCATTTCTTTCAGCTTCAAGGCCCCGATGCCGTTGGCGCAGTCGACCTTAACCGATCTGTTTTCATCTCCACTGCAGGAAACCTTCAAAGGAAAAAGACAGGGAAGGAAAACAAGTCACCAGAGTGGATCACCAAGCATGCATGCATGCATGTACGCATGCATGCATGTATACATGAAAAGGTCCTCTTATTTCCATGTACATGTCCAATTTAACACAGAAAACCTGCACACCGTCAGAGGAATTACAAACCAGCAAAGTCAACCTGAGCAACACAGCAGTGGGGCCATGGGATGAACAAGCCACAGAGAGGCAGCTGCATCAGAACTGAGCCCCGACAGAGCATGGCCCATTAAAGTACCAGGCCTCGCTTCCTGACAGTCATCTAAATGTGCAGATGAGCACACGGGTGTCTGACTAACACGAGCATTCTCTGCAAGGCATGTATTATCACCAGGCACATTGCGGGCTTGGGGATTTTTTGTTTGTTTTATCATTATCAGTCTTTCACCAGTCCCCACATCAAAATCTGAATTCTTTGAGAACAAGCACGATCAGGTGAATCACGCCCTGCATAGGTCTCCAGATTAAACAATGGAGTCTACCTAAAAGACATTCCCTCCTAGCAGTACCTTCTCAAGCCCGTAGCATCTACATTATAATCAAAGTCATCCCAGTGACTACTGATAACCACAAGCAAAGACATCATGAGGTTTCCCAGAATGCACCTTGCCATTATATACTCACCATCACACACAGAACAGAGCCTGGGAGAAACTGGAGCCAAGTCACATTTGGAGAAAAGAAGGAGGCCAGTGGTGAGCTATGGCAGTTAGGTTGTTGACTGTATTACTATATTCACCTGTTGAAGTTCTAATCACAATGGAAAAACGTCTCACCTGTTTGGTAAGGTCTACAAAAGCCTTGGAGAGTTTCTGACAGTAGCCTTCTATGGTGGCCTTTCCATACCGGTCTCCGGAATTCCGACAATACACCATGTAGTGTAGCTGAGGTGTGGTCAACAGGCCATAGTCTGCCAAACAAACACAAAAGTCAGTTCAGCTCACTTATTAACAAAAGAAGCTCACATGAATTCATGCCTTAAGAGTGTTAGATCCAAACCGGCCACTCCCCCCAGAAAAAAGATAGCAGTACTGGTGACATTGTCCTGAACAGAAGGACTCTGACCTGATAAACAGAAAGACTACTTGGTTGGTTTTGTTTCTTGGAGACAGGTTTTCTCTGTATAACAGCCCTGGCTGTCCTGGAACTCACTTTGTAGATCAGGCTGGCCTCCAATTCACAGAGATCCATCTGTCTCTGCCTCAGTACCAGCTCAGGTCCCCACCCTGCTGACTGTGACATAAATCTGCTTGTTTTTCCACATTTTGCTCCTCTTTCTGCCCTCCCCCCACAAACACCCAGAGAGAGAGCCTTGGCAGTTTAATCACCAATAAATCTTTGTTTCTACCCATGGGTGGTCTAGTTTGGTGACTTATCCCAGAATCTCAGAAAATATGAACATAAAACTTTCAAAATATCCAAATGCACAAACATCCACTGGCATTTATGATGGCTAACATTATATTTTAAGTTTTAATTACTGTTCTTAAGCGATCTATAAAACAAAAATGCCTCTAACCTGTAAGCTCCACTTTCCCAAGGATAGACTAACTTCCCAGAGTGCTGGGGGATGTTCTTGTAATTGCCTGGTCTTGAACAATTCTTTATTATTTATTTATTTATTTATTTATTTATTTATTTATTTATTTATTTATTTATTTATTTATTTATTTATTTATTATACAGTGTTCTGCCTGTATGCATGCCTGGTCTTGAACAATTCTTTATTATTTATTTATTTATTTATTTATTTATTTATTTATTTATTTATTATACAGTGTTCTGCCTGCATGCATGCCTGCACACCAGAAGAGGGAACCAGATCTCATTATAGATGGTTGTAAGCTACCATGTGGTTGCTAGGAATTGAACTCAGGACCTCTGAGCCATTTCTCCAGGTCCCAGTCTTGAACAATTTTTAGGAAAATGTTGTACATGTATGACAACAAACTACATGTGTAAACAAGTCTGCTTGCCCTGACTGCATATAGACAGGCTGCATACCTGATTACACTTGGGCAGGAAGTGCATCAGGATGTTTGGAGGTGTGAAGTGTACAGCCTTCTGAGTGTTGCCTTTATAAGCCCCTGACTAATGTAACTGGGTGCTACACCTTAGAAGTCCTGAGTCTCAGGCACAGATCTGGTGCCAGCATCTGAATAAAGCCTCTTCTTTGCTTAAAATTTATTCATGGTCAGTCTGGTATATCTCTGAACAACCCCAGTGCCATAACAGTATCATTATAAGGACATGTTGCATAATTCTAAAAGAACTGTAAACTACTAATAATAGCAAAAGGTTAATGATTTAAAACAGGTTACAGATAAAATTCAAATGAACCATCCTGAAAACCACCAAAATTATAGAACAAGAGAAAAATCTCAGCCCAGTGTGGCAACACACACCTTTAATCCCAGCACCTGGTGGATCTTTGAGTTTGAGTCTTGAAATAAAAAATAAACACATAAATAAATAGACAAGGGAGAGGGGAAGAGGGGACACTCTCTTTGAAAGGAATTCCTCATCACTTGAGAGGAATCATCAAACCTACGTCTATGTGACTCCCAGGAGCAGGGCTGAAAGCATCCTTGAAGACATCGCTCTAAGCAGAAGTAGACCTGGGGCTTTAAGCAGGAAAACAAGTCTACACTGGGCTAAGATGAGGGACCCAGGGGAAGAACAGCCCTTCACAATGTTGAAGCCTCACTCACGTTCTAAGGGTGCATCAGGGCTGGGTCGCCCCGAGTCTGCCCTCCCTGCAGTGTCTGAGCAGTGAGGAGACCTGCAGGAAGCCCTCGGGGGCTGTCTCCACCAGCACAACGTATGGAGACACACAATGCCCTGTCTGGCACTGCTGTCCCACTGTGCATCAGCACAGAATCCGAAAGACCCCCGTCACTAACAAACTAAAGCAGACTCGATCAGGCAGTGGCCAAGGGGCCTGGGAGAACACGAAACTTTGCCAAAAGAGTATGTTTGTCAGGCATCTTAATAAATGTGCCACCAGTAACTTCCCAAGGAAACAGCTTCCTTTCAGACACAGCTGGACACGGAACAGCAGGAGCAAGAAGCAAGAGAAATGAACGCCAGGCATGAGCTAGACCAATGGTTCTCAACCTTCTTAACGCTGCAGCCCTTTAATATAGTTCCCTTGTGTTATGGTGACCCCCAACCATAAAATTATTTCGCTGCTACGTCATAACTAATTTTGCCACTGTTATGAATTGTAATGTAAATATCTGATATGCAGGATATCTGATACGTGCTTCCCAAAGGTTGAGAACTACTGAGTTAGATGAAAACTCAAAGGAAGAGTTTGCAAGGAGGCATAGGAACTTGTAAAGGTCCTGGGTCGTCAGCCACACAACAGAACGCCTCCAGAGGCCAGTCGCTCCGGTGAAAGGATTTGAGAGGAGGCGTGGAAAAATGTGGATAATCACCTACATTAATTAAATGGAAATGGTCCAAAATAAAATAAATTATTCTAAAAGACATGCTAAAGGGGAAAACAAGGATTTTGAGAGCAATACTGAAATTACCAAATACTGAGTGTACTCCTTTGCTTTCTGTTGCTATAACAAACACCATGACCAAAGCAACTTGGGGAGAAAAGGATGCGCCAGGGAGGGAGGCCAGGGCAGGAGCTCCAGGCAGGAACTGAAGCAGAGACCATGGAGGAATGCTGCTTGCTCCAGACTGCTCTCCATGGCTTTCTCAGCTGCCTTTTTTACACAGCCCAGGCCTACCTGCACTAGAATGGTAGCCCACAATGGGCTGGGCCTCTCCCATACTGATCAGCAGTCAAGAAAATGCCCTGCAGACATGGCCATGGGCCAATCTGATGGAGGTAGTTCTCCAGTGAAGTTCCTTCCCTCTTCTCAGGTGACAAAGACTAATGGGCACACTATGTAACTGTTACACACACTCAAAGAAAAGCACCGTCCCATCCCCTCTCTGAAACCTAAAAGTTATTTTTCATAGCACTAACCTTAACCAAGTCCCCAAATCCTTTGAATTCAAGAAAAGCTCCAGGATTTTCCACTGCCGGTGTCTTTAAACACTCCTACACAAAGCCCACTGCACACGCCCTGATCTCTTTTTCCCCCAACTCCCTTCTCTTTAAGAAGTGGTGGCTTGGCTGGGCGGTGGTGGCACACGCCTTTAATCCCAGCACTTGGGAGGCAAAGCCAGGGGATCTCTGTGAGTTCGAGGCCAGCCTGGGCTACTAAGTGAGTCCCAGGAAAGGCGCAAAGCTACACAGAGAAACCCTGTCTCGAAAAAAAAAAAAAAAAAAAAAAAAAAGTGGTGGCTTAAAGTAAAAATGGTCCATTATACTTGTGCATAAAATCCCTTAATTGGGCCCCATTGCACATGGGACACAATCCAAATCCTCATTTTTGAAGTTATTTGGCCCCTGCTTATCTCCCTAGTCTTACTGCCCACCCTAAGTGGCAATTCCATTAAAACAGCTGAAGGGAGATAAGCAAGGTATTTAAAAAAAAAAAAAAAACACTCAAATTTTTTATATTTAATAAACTAGAAGTGATTCATTTAGAAACAGACCCGATTAGAGAAAGATCAACCACTCTGGGAGGGATGATAGAAAGATGGGTCTGGCGATGTGAAGGCAAACTGGGTCAAGGCTTGAAGTGAATTTGTACACTGGGTAAGAACAGGCCCAGTAGTGGGGCCAGGGAACCAACTTGGTGAAAGACAGTTCCCATCACTGCACATCACGTCAATGGCACAGATGGCTGCTTGCTTGTATGAAGCACCGCTGACTGGGATGGGCATCCACATTATCTACGTGCACATCATGATAGAATGTGGGTATCTCACTGGGAACTAGGACACGCATGAAACAGACACCACAGAGCAGATAACCAGAAATGTTTGATGAGTGAATGCATGCATGAACGAAGGAGGCCGGAGAGACAACCATTCAGTCATGATGTAGATCAAAGAGAGGACCGGCTGAGGAGCCCTTAGCAAAAGGGACCGAAAACAAGCAGCAGAGACGACCAAGAAGGAACGAACGTGTCTGAGCAAGCAGAAGGGTAAAGAGAACTGTCTGAGATCGGAGAGCTGTGAGGGCATAACCTATGGTGAGAAGCACTGAATCCAACCAAGTTCCTGTGTTTCGGTCACAGACCATGACTGTCAAGGGGCTCAGAAGCACAGGTAGCCAGCAGGAGGGCTAGAGCAGGACCCCCAGCACCCAGAGAGACACCCAGACAACTGCTGGGCAGGTGTGGGGGCCCACCTCAAGCCCTAGTCTGCTGCAGGTCTCTTCCCTCTCATGCATGAATTTAAAGTATACCCAAAGAAAACACTCACGACAAACGAGAAAACAGCACTCAGGAAGTGAAGAGGGTTCCCCAGGACAAGCTGGCTAGCAAGACTAGCCACACCGCCCTTAGCTAAAGGCCTGAGAAAGGACTGGCTGAAACAGTGAGCTCTGGGTTCAAGTAGGACTTCCTACCTCAGCACATAAGGTAGGGATCAAGGAAGACACCCAGCACTGACTTCTGGCCTCCACACACGCCCACAGACTTGCACACAAGCATACACACTTGCATGTGTGTGCACAGACACACGCACGCACAAAATCAAAAAGATTGTCAATACACGATTGCAATACACACTGCACCACAAAAGCCTCGGGCTCTCTGCAGCTTAACCCAACACTGCAGGATCTCGATCTAGCCAGAGGGTCCAGCAATCTGAATTCAGGTGAGCAGAGGAGACAGCACCCTGAACAAACATCAAGAGACCCACCTGGAGCAGGCTAAGGACAGCCAGGTGAGCAATCAGAGAGCAATCACATCTCCAATCAGACCACGAGTTACAACCATTTCGGAACCGGGCCTAAATATATGCCTGCTATGCATTAAGGCCAAGCAGCATTCTCAGCGCTGACAGTTATATAATAAAAACACTTATAAAGTCTGGAAAATGTTGGCAGTGACCCATGTCATACAGTGTCAAATACTCAGCCAAGATTGAACTCTGTGTCAAAAAATAAGCATACCCATCTAATTAGTATGTAAATTTGCTTTCATCCTTTAAAAATGGTAAAACTGTATGTATAAATAAGAATTATTTTATAATAAATTTCTTTATGATTTATGATCAGCAAACACTGGACTTGTGATTTTAGATACCTGTATAACAGGTGCTGTGGAAAATTTATCAGGCAAATGGGGTCACAAGCAGAAAAGATTTAATAGGCTCTGCCCCATGGGTAAACTCAGATGCCTTGCCTGAAAAAGCTGCAATATTTTAAAAACCTGCAATATTTTAAAAGTTTATCTAGAAATTAATTTTTTAACTTTTTTTTTTAAATAACTGGTTTGGGCTGGTTTTTTTTTGTTGTTTTTTGTTTTGTTTTGTTTTTTAAGATTTATTTATTTATTATGTATACAGCATGTATGACCAGAAGAGGGCACCAGACCTTATTACAGATGGTTGTGAACCACCATGTGGTTGCTGGGAATTGAACTCAGGACCTCTGGAAGAGCAGTCGGTGCTCTTAACCTCTAAGCCATTTCTCCAGCCCAATTTTTTAACTTTTATTGTTTGTTATTTTCCAATTTTATGTGTTACTTTTTAAATTTAAATAACAATTTCTTGAAGATTAACTTGAAACAACATACCATGAAGTTGACCTCCTAAAACAGTCACACCGTCTATTACAGACTGTGAAAGTTTCTCACTACTGGGCCTGTGAGAGAAAAGAAAGAAAGGAGAGTTAGTGAACGGGAAAGCAAATGGAGGAGTGCGTGCCTACAATTTCAAAATAACACGTTCAATGAACCTGAAAGCTATCAACTCTTGGCAAAAAAAAAAAACACAGGATAAATTACAATCATTTTCCCAGGATCCTTTGCACAGGTGACTTCTTAGAAAATCTGGGCTTTTAAATTTACAAACTAGATACAAAGAGCCAGGTTTGCTAATTCCTCCCACCCACTTGAGAAGCTGAGGCAGGAGGATCACTAGATTCAATGCCTGCACAGAGTGAGTTCAAGGCCAGCCTGGGTAAATGTGTGCGACTATATCAGAATTAAAAAGGGAACTAGGACTGTAGCTCAGTACAAGTGTGTTTTCCTAATATACACAAAGCCCTGGGTTCAATATCCTGTACTGAAAAAAAAAAAAAA